TACAACAAAAAAAAAAAAAAACGAAAAAAAACGCAGCACTGCTCATGTTAACTGCGTGGCTTTTTTGATTAACTTTTGTTCGAAACTCTCCGTCCTATATCAAGAGAAGTTCGTAAAATTTTACCGAAACATACTTTGAAAAGATTGAAGGTATTTGTGTTCTTGAAAACAAGCAGCTGTACGTCCGCATTGCACAGCTTGTTTGCATTTTAGATCATTACATAGAATGCTGTAATGCCCATCAAATTGCATTTGTTGCCGGGGAAAATTCTCTGCTACGAGCTGTGTTCGTGTACTTCGTGGTTGCAAGGCTGACAAGAAAGCTTCCGATCTTTGTAATGGCGTCTGCTTGAAAAGAAGAAAATTCAGACGTTTTCGAAGCATATACGATCTATTGTTGGTTCATCAACAATAGAAAAAAAAACTGTTTGAACTTTAAAGACCGCGTACAATATTTTCTCAAGTTTATAAGCAGTTTTAAAACCATAGCCATTGCTGCATATCTCTGTTTAGGACTATGAAACAGGAAAAAAGAAAGAAAAGAAAAGAAAAGAAAAGGAAGAACGCGGATCATACAACGAAACATTTACTGATGAACATCCATCAGTAAATGGATTTTAAATCAGACACAGACCTATCGTTCAAACGAACGGAATTAAATAGAATGAAACCTTAAAATTATATTTCTAACTCGTTCATTAGACTTACTGACACAGCCTTCATGAAATGTCATTTCTGTTTATAGAAGTTTGAACGTGGCAAGTCCCTGCAAACCTTTTGTAATGCAACACGTCTCCTTCATTTGCTTTTCTCTCCATGAGACAGGAAAACGCGTTGAACTATAAAACTGGTTGAATCTATATTTACATGTGCATATCCGCTCGAAAACGGATTTAGATGGAACCTATATTTGTCATTTAAATCGAAAATAAATGATCTATTTTTTTTTTTTTTGCATGTCAAAATATATACGAGTGTGGGTAGGGTAGTGGTTGTCGTCGCTGAACGCCTGACTTGCGTGCCGAGTTCAAATTCCAAGCGAGGCAGTGTTGTGCAGTTGTTGTATTTGTCCCTTTATTTATATTTATATTATTATGCTTCTATATTTATATTTATATTATTATGCTTCTTTATTTATATTTATATTATATTATTATGCTTCTTTATTTATATGTATATTATTGTGCTCTATATTTATATTTATATTATATTATTATGCTTCTTTATTTATATTTATATTATTATGCTTCTTTATTTATATTTATATTATATTATTATACTTCTTTATTTATATGTATATTATTGTGCTCTATATTTATATTTATATTATATTATTATGCTTCTTTATTTATATTTATATTATTATGCTTCTTTATTTATATTATATTTTTATGCTTCTTTAGTTATATTTTATTATTATGCTTCTTTAGTTATATTTATATTATTGTGCTCTATATTTATATTTATATTATATTATTATGCTTCTTGATTTATATTTATGTTATATTATTATACATATTTATTTTATGATCTGAATATTCAAGAAATCTGATGAAAGAAAATGCGTCTTTGTTTCAGAGTCGGTTAAGGTAGGTCGGATCTAAGGCCCGATTCCCTCGGCGCAGGTTTGAATTCTACCGGATAGAGCATCTTCATCTTTATTTAGATTTCTTGAATCTTCAGGTCCTGAGACGAAAAAAAAAAAATATTATTTTTTAATAAATAAAAGAAACATTACTTTTGAAAATTCACCAGGTTCGAATCCTTCAAGCGAGCGCATATATATATATATATATATATATATATATATATATATATATATATATATATTACAGATGGAACTAATGTCTTTAATTTAATTGCAAAATTAAATTAGTGGCTTTTAGCTTTTATTTTTGAAACATGGTTAGAACTGTGTAGCGGAAAAAACATATTTTAAATCAATTAATTTATAATATATATATATATATATATATATATATATATATATATATATATATATATTCCAAACGTTATTTTTCGTGGATACCAATATTTGATATTACGATCCGTTTATTTTAAACTATATTTATTTCGTTTAAAGACCGAAGGGTACATTTTCATTATTACGTTTTCTAGAGTACATGAACCGGTAGACGAAATAATAATTGCTTAAAATGAATAGAGCATTTACTAAAATACGGGTATCCGCTAAAAATAACGTTTGAAGTAATAAGAATATCTAGTATTAAAAATAAAAAATTCCATTTGTCGGATCATCTGCTCGGATTGTGGAATCGGAGAGCCGAGTTCGAATTCCAGTTGAATCCATTACATTCACTTACTTGCTAATACCCTTGGGAAAGGTATGAATCCTCTTCTTCTCCTCCCATCTATGGGTAAATAGCAGGACAGACCGTGTTTATAGCCTTGGATAGCAACTGGTCTATAGCAGAGAGAAATGGTAACATATTGCGGGAAAAAATCTGCCTCGTCAGTCATGTATCGAAAGATACATGATCGCCTAAGCGTGTATCAAGCATGACACATGTGATTGATCCGGCAGAGCGGAATTACGCCAAATTCCAAAGTCGGTAAAATGAAATAAGTTTATCGAAAATGTATTTATTGATTTATGTACCACACACACACACACACACACACACACATATATATATATATATATATATATACATACGGGGGAGCGAAACAGCAAAATTGTCCAAATCGTATAACAGCATAATTGGCCATCCTATAAAATGTTGACTATCTAAAAAACACTAAACTAATTGAGTTTCTATATTTGAGGTTATCAGACAGACGTTTAGCCATCTTGACCCCATTTGTCGTAAGAATAACTGAAAAACCCTTTGAATTATTCAACTAGAAAGAGAACAGGTTAAAATCGTTTTGTGTCAGTCTCACTATGTCTTCCAAACTGATCTAGGGTGAGAGGAAATAAGATCATTCAGGCCTTCGGCAATGGTACCAACATTCATACTCAGGCTCCCATCTTTAAATTCTATTCAAGAACCATCCAGAGAACAGTGAATACGTTTAAAAAAAGAGGGAACAGTAGAGTGGAAAACTGGATCAGGGGGTCACAACAGGAAAAAGATCATAATTTCAACTTAGAGCTGAAGAGATCAATTAGAAAAGATCCCACTCAATCCATAAGACATTTGGCACTTGAGGGAGAAGTTTCAGATATGACAGTCCAAAGAGCACTGAAAAAAAACTTGAATATGAAATCGTACGTGAAACGCGTGGGGCATCTTGTTACTCCAGGACAGAAAGTTAGAAGGTTAGAGAGGGCAAAGATCATCTTGAATAAGTTGGAAAATGATCCTGGAATAATAAATATATTTGAAAGTCATTTCAGTCCTTCATGAGTTTCCGATCCGTATCTATGATTAATTAAAGATACTCTGGTTACCATCTTTAAAACCCATTCAAGAATCATCAAGAGAATGATGAATAAGTTTAATAAAGACCAAACAGTAGAGAGGAAAACTGGATCAGAAGGTCTCAATAATCATCATTTCAACTTAGAGCTAAAGAGAACAATGAGAAAATATCCAACTCAATCTATAAGACTTTTGGCACGTGAGAGTGGAGCTCCATCTATAACAGTCCACAGAACAGTGAAACTTTACACGAATGATAGATGGTGAAAAACAACGGGGTATAATGAAAAACAATGATCTTTCACAGTAAATTTACATGCTGGATCACACAACATAGCTGCTTGCCTTAACAAAACTACTGCTATTAAAACTCGGGATATTTAAAAAATAAAGCTAAAATGACAGAAAGCTGAATGAAGTCAACTGTGCATCTAGACAAGCATGGCGCACACAATTTAAAGCAAAGCGTCCCTTTATCTTCTGCATTTCTCAATGCAAAATTGTAAAGAGCGTTTTAAACCCTAGCTAGGGTAAGAGATGGATTGATGCCATTCCTACGAGTACTTGCACGTAAGTGAATGAAACGATCCTGTCTGGTGGAACTTGGGAAGGTTTTTTTTGTATGTTGCGATTTAGGAAGGTTTTTCTTGTAAGTTGCGATTTAGGAAGGTTTTCCTTTTAAGTTGTGATTTAGGAAGGTTTTTCTTGTATGTTGCGATTTAGGAAGGTTTTTCTTGTATGTTGCGATTTAAGAAGGTTTTCCTTGTAAGTTACGACTTAGGAAGGTATTTCTTGTATGTTGCGATTTAGGAAGGTTTTTCTTGTATGTTGCGATTTCAGAAGATTCTCCGTTTCTGTTACAATTTGGGAAGATTTTCCTTCTCTGTTATGATTTGGGATGGTTTTCCTTGGAAGTTGTGATTCGGGGAGATTTGCTTGTCTACAACAATTTGGGAAGTTTTTGCTTGTATGCTGCGATTTGGGAAAATATCCGTTTCTGTTACAATTTGCAAAGATTTTCCTTGTCTGTTGCGATTTAAGATGGTTTTCCTTGAAACTTTCGATTTAGGAAGGCTTTCTTGTCTGCTGCGATTTGGAGAGGTTTTACTTGTATGTTGCGATTTGAGAAGCTTTTGCTTGTATGTTGCGATTTGGGAAGGTTTTCTGTTTCTGTTGCTATTTGTCAATGATTTCCTACTCTCTCAGTTGATATATGAAGCCTTCGGGTGACTGACTTGTTTTTCACATCAATAGCAAAACTGATGAATTCAGTTTTCATATAGTACCCCACAATTTGTTAGCTAATCATAATGACTTCATGCCTGTTGCATTAAAGTCGATGTTCAACAGATACTTTAAACACGTGGCCTTGTGCCAGAATAGGTTAAGCTGAATAAATATTAATAGTGGAATGATCGCTTTGCTGGTGGACAGTGGTTAGTGAAACGATCTCAAAGAAACAGACAATTGCAGAGCACCTACTATGGCCTGGACTCATTGCAATTCTGCGAGACAAGTTTGCTAACTACTGCAACAAAATTGGTACTTGCAAAGGTTATGGTTCCTGGGAACTGGTAAGAATTGTTACAAGAAAATAAGCATTAATTTAAGAAGTTATCGAAGATATAATGAAAGGCTACAGATAGAAAATGAAAACCAAAAATAAACTTTTACAATGAGGAGAAATGAATAAAAAGCTTCAAAAGAATATGGAAGAGGTGTTAAAAGAAAGAAAGAAAAGGCGTGAATAAAGGAAAGGAAAGAAAGAAAAGGGGGATTAAAGGAAAAAAGAGTAAAGCAAAGATGAATGAAAAAAAAGGAAGAAAAAAGAAAGGAAATAAAGTGATGAAGGAGAAAGCAAAGAAGATGACTAGAAAAGAAAAATATGAAAGTGAAGATGTGTGAGAAAGAAAGAAACAAACAAACAATGAAAGACAGGAAAAGATGATTAGCAAGAAAAATGAAGAAGGTGAAAATATGCGAGAAAGAAAGAAAGAAAGAAGGAAAGTAAGGTGTTACAAAGAAATATTGGGAGTGTAAACGAGAAATAAAGAACGAAAAAAGAAGGAATTACCATTACAAGTGGAAAAGAAAGAAAGATAAGATAAATTATGACTGTATAATCAGGAAACAAAGAAGAAAGAAACAAAGATGGTTACGAGTGGAAAAGAAAGAGCAGACACATTATGCAAGTGTAAAAATTAAATAAAAAGAATAAAAGAAAAAGAAAAAAGAAAGAAAGAATGATGCTTACAAGAAGAAAGCATAGAAAGAGCCGATAAATTATGGCAGTATAATCAGGTAAGAAAGAAAGAAAGAAAGAAAGAAAGAAAGAAAGAAAGAAAGAAAGAAAGAAAGAAAGAAAAAGGGTTATGCGTGGAAAAGAAAGAAAGAGCAGAAAATTATGAGAGGGGAAAAGAAAAAAATAAGAATGAAAGTAAAAGAAAGAAAAAGAATGAAAGAAAATGGTTATGAGTAGAAAAGAAAGAAAAGGTGGAGGAATTATAAAATTATAAACGAGAAATAAAGAAGGCAAAAAGAAAGAAAGAAAGAAAGACTGTTATGAGTAGAAAAGAAAGAACAAAAAATTATGGAAGTGGAAACGAAAAAGAAAGAATAAAGAAGTGTAAAATGAAAGCGAGGACAAAAGACTTTAACAAAAGTTGCTGGAAGATGATAAAAAAAAAAAACTATGAATGAGGGTTAGTGTAGAAGACAATGAAACAGTTGGAAATTCTCATTGATGCACAAAGTCAAGCTAGAAGCCAGGTTCACCTGATTTCCTGTGCGCGTGAATATTGTTTTTAATTATAACGTTCGGTCCGTCGCCAGAGAATCCTAATTATTAGAAAATTAGATACATGACAAGGGGACGTAATTAAATGTTCAGCCCCGAAGAGAATAGAACATTGACTTTGATGAGGACGACAACTGGCGAAAGAGTTAATAGTCATCGCAAAGGTGACACTGATGATGATGATTTTGATACTGGTATTAAAAAAAAAAAAAAAAAAAAAAAAAAAAAACTGCTGGTGCCGAAAGCGGTTGACGGCGTCCAGTGAATGTTGGGATATTGATGACAATACTTGACTGGTTCTCCTTTTGGTAATGAGGAAAGGATACACATCTCGATGTCAAGTAGTGGTTAACGAGCATTTTGATCCTCAGTGCTCCGTACTTATAACTGTCAGTGAGCTAAGGATAGAGTCGAGGGCCTCGTTTTACTGTAACGGTGAGGAAACAAACTTCGCGGAATATTACTGCCTTTGTGAGTTCAATGTCTGTAAGTGTCTCGGAGTGAGAGAGTTTTACGAAATAACTACGAAAATGCTTAACAAGCTCATCTAGCAGGGTACTAATAGTTTTAACCTTGTGGACTTCTACTAGACCAGGGATCCCTAAATATTGTCGACGCTTAACCTCTTCAGGGAATAATTAACCTTTTATAGATCTTTAATAGTTTCTTTAATCGGTTTTATCCCGAGCAAGGCTGTAATGCCACTGAGACACAAGGTTACTTGATGCGGCAGAGTTAGAAAACAAAAACATTGTTAAGAAAAAGATAAGTAATCAAGAGGATAGTAGATAGCGGTTGACATTGCATTTAAATTTTTTCAGATCGAAATTGGCTGGAAAGCATAGAATCGGGAGGGATTTCCACAAGCGAGAAGTGCAATAAAAAAAACTGATAGCATGGATTTTACGTTAATATCTAGCCAGCTCCACTGTAAATTGATGAGGCCCCATCGTCAGTCTAGTACTGCGCTTAAATTCAAAGAGTCTAGGCACTGTAGTGAAGAACTTATCCGAACAATTACCATGAAAGTATTCATAGAAAAGGCACAGTGAGGCAACCTTACGGCGGTGGGACATGTTGTGGCCTGTTAGGGGCCAGAAAGAAAGACATGGAAAGAAAAAGGTAGGTTGAACAAGTGTATTGAAATAACAGAACATATATACAAAATAAGATGGTTATTAGTTAGCAGATAGGAGTGTCCGTCCGAACTGTCAGGCTACACTGCGTCCCGACTACCTCTGCCTTGGGATGTCTCGCAGGTTAGTATTTATGAAAGAGGAAGAGTTCATTCTAATCGAGATAGATCACCATAACAGACAGAAACTGAAGCCGAGACAACAGAAGTGGACCAATAATATTGCCGATTCCTCTTTGGATTTTATCAAGGAGCTCTAGGTAAATAATAGGAGAACCAGACCAAATGTGGCAGCAATATTTTAAGCATGGACGAATGGTACACTCATAGATATATAAGATAGATAGGAGAGAATAAAATGTCTAGAACGACAGTTTAATTAATAAAAAATTATATATTGTCATTAAAGGTAGAATATATATATATATATATATATATATATATATAAGAGAAGGAAAACTCTCATATTTTAAACCTCTGCTGTTTGGCTGCCATACCCAATGATGTGAAGAGCTTCGGTACTAAACCCTGATGACAAATCCAGAGGTGTAGTCCTTAAGACAGTCCGATGTTATGTTGAATTTCGTTCTGGTAACTCCTGCGACGACGCCGGTGTCAAGACGTATTGGCCCCTGTCTTTCCTTTGGACAACATTGGTGACCTAGAGAGGAGTGGCGTGCTGCGTGTGTATATGTGTATGTAAAAATGTGAAATTGTCTGTACAAAAACTTGCTGTAGAGAGAAAATAAGATTTGGAAAACACCTAATACATGTATTTTTACAGAGAAATGTTAAAACTGTTTTCCTTACAAGTGGGTTTTCAGAAAAAAAATTGTTTTATTTTAAGCGGTTTCGCTTTTAGCTATTCAAAAACTTTTAAAATATTTATATTCCCACGTGTTGTCGCTAACGCCTTGAACAAATGAAAACATCAAGGGGAGTAACTGGTTTTATGTCGCTTATGGTAAGGAAAAGATGGTAGAATCTATTTTGAGGGACATGCCTCTGTTTTATGCAATAGATTGAGTACTGATTTAAAATTGCTGATAAAAAAATGATTCTTTATTAATACGCTTTCATTCGGTGGCTACACACACAGACAAATTATGCTCTGTATTTGATGGAATTCCAAAGTTATCGTTTTTCAAAGTGTTAAAAATAAATGAAGCATTTAATGCGGTGTATTGTCAATTAAAAGAACTGCACAAAATTTGCAGAAAGAACGCCCATCATTGTGGTGCTAAACAGGATAGATTTGCCTCATCCTCCATATATTCCTCACCTTCATACATCTATCATCTTTTCAGATCTTTGGAACATTTTTTGGGAAAAAAAACTGTTTATTAATTGTGAAGAGGTTAAAACTGATATTTAACGTTTCTTTACACGAAAACGTGTAAAGAAAGGTAAACTATGGAAGACGCTAAGTTATTGCTTAATAAACAAAAGTGAGTAAATGCTGTTATTGTTATTGTTGAAGTTTTCACCGGAGGGATTAATTTGCAAAATGGACGGGATTATATCATTAATAACTAGTGGAACATTTCTTAATTACATATATTAATTAAATATATTAATACATTACGTCATAACGTAGCTTCCATGTGTCTATAAATACTTACATGGTAACTGTTCTGATGAACTTTCCTTTAAAAGATGCTACTTTTATTCCCCACCCCAAATTGTACATATAGGAAATAGTTAGGACTTCATAGAGACTTTGAGGTATTATGGTGACTGTAATAGAATGATAAGTAAGAATATGTTATTTTGATGTAAGGAATACTGTGGTATGTTTGGGTCAGTAATCGTGGATAGCTAAGTTTAAGATAAGAGAGATGGAAAACAAGTCTTCCCCATCTCCTTTTAGGGATTGTGCTACATTTTTCTATTTTTCAAAATAAATATTACTTTCCTCTGTGGTAACTGGACATTATGAATTTAAACGCAGTACTAGACTGGTAGCAATGTTTCATCGTTTTACGATTGAAATGGCGAGATGTAACCATAAGTTCTATTCTAACAGTTTCTTCTATCGCACTTCTCGCTTGTGGAATTCACTTCCGGTTTCTTTCTTCCCAGTCAACACCGATCGTCAAAAATGTAAATGCAATGTCAATCGTTATCGACTGTCTTCTTAATTCCTGCTTTTTTTTTATAGTTCTCTCTTTAATAGTAGCTTTTATTGTATTTTTTAACACTCAGTAGCCTCTTGAGTGGAAGGTAAAAACAATGATAGATTATTAAGAGAGAGAGAGAGCAGTTTCGTTTTTGAGGCGTTAAAACTAACACGCCACTCTCTGTCCTATATGATAACAGATTGAAGGTCATTTTTGAGATCAGTTGCCAATTTGACTTTATCGAACCGATTAGACAGGAGTAAATAGTTGTGTCATCAGCATATAATCAACGACGAAATTATTTGTACATTCATCAATTTTGAATAATTTTATCCATTCCTCAGAATCTAATGACCGTATGATTATAACTTTTTTATAGGTTAATGAACACAAAAAAGGAATATAAAACTCAATTTTCAAAACAATAGGTTAATTACAACAAATTTAACAGGCGAATTATGCAAAATATAATGTAATATTGTTTTTAACCTATTGTTCTGAAAATTGATTTTTATATTTCTTTTTTAAGTTTATTGACACATGAAACACCTGGCATCATACGGCCATTAGACTCTGAGAAATGGATAAACGTATTCAAAATTGATGGGTCTACAAATTATTTCATCGTTGAGTGTAGATACCGAGTTGAGAACTGATGACATCAAGAAAATCATTTATTAAAATTAGAAAAAAATATAGGTTCAAGGATAGCGGTACAGAGCACCTTCATTTATGAAAAAAAAAAAAAAAAGATTTAGAAGAGTGGGCATTCAAGATAATCTTCAAATTGTAAAATATCCTGAAGATCGCTTCGTAGCAATGAAGATTTGAAAAGGCCTATTTGGGCTTTGAATCTAAATGGATTATTTAGCTTGTATAATTGTTACATGTTTTATCTGTTCTACAGATCAGATGTGCATTTTCTTGACTAAGATTTCGATCACCCCTGGTCGTTAATTTCACAGCGGAAAACGTAAAACTAAGAAGACGTAATGAGTTAATCTCGTGGTGGTTAGCCTCAGCCATACTGGTGCCAGGCAAAAGAGATTCCTGATGATGAGAGCAGTTTCGTTTTAAAGGCGTTAAAATTAACAAGCAACTTCTTGTCCCAGTTCATAAGACATGGTAGGTCTTTGTCAAGATCAGCTGTCAATTTGACTTTATCGAACCTATCTGTTGTGGAGTGATTTCACAGTGGAGGCTTGTATTTGTACTAAGTCGGTCCTAAAATAGGTTCGACGTACAAAACGTAGACGTAGAGTAATCTAGTTGTGGTCGCTGATACTTTCGTATTCGACTAACTGTCGTCCGACATCGACTGACCCACCGACTGACTCGTTACTCTTAGTACTCCTACTTATTATAGGTGGGAGAGTCTATTAACTACAGAATAGGTGTGTTCCGCCATAACACTATCAAACTTAGTATCAAGACATAGATCCAGAGTCGGGAAATGTTAATATCAAGAAGGTCGTTGATAAAAATAAGAAACAAATTAGGTCCAATAACGTCCATATTAATGCAAAATTGTCTAGAGGAGAGGCCGTTCATGACAACTTTCATTATGCGGACATTTCTTAGGTGAAATTTTTAGTATTTAATTGTAATTAGTTTAGCAGTTGTCATTATTTAAGTGGATGTGCTATAGTTTTATTTATCAGTCAGATACCTGGGCAGCAGGGGCCGCAAACTCGAGGACAGAAAACGGCAATTACGTGGTGAGAGAGAGGTGCACTGTGATCAAAATTAAATCATCAGGGTATTACCAATGGGTAGGACATAACTATTCTCAAACAGAGAGCCACGGACCATTCGGACTATTTCCCAGCCATGGAGACGGCGAACTCTCTTAGTTACAGGATCCCAGTCCAGGTTCCAAGGACCCACAAAGCTAATTAAATCAGTTTAGTATTTTTGAGTGAGAGGAATAGGGAAAATGAGAGAGAGAGAGAGAGAGAGAGAGAGAGAGAGAGAGAGAGAGAGAGAGAGAGAGCAGACAAGCAACATCTCACACGTATTCTATCATGTTGAAACAATGGTTCACTTACGGGTAGCGAAATTAAGCAACGTCGAGCTAGGTCAGTACATAGATGGGTGACCACTT